TAGTTCTGAACCACCTCCACCTACATATGATGAAGCTATGTATCTTATTGGTGATGAAAAATTTAGAATGGAAATTAAAATAGATAACAGTGCAAAACAAGAGACCAGTAACCAAACCTCAAGTTCCAATTCTGAAAACATCAAACCCTGAATGGGAAACATATTTTTTTGTTAATTACACATACAGTTGTGTAAGTAATTTACTTAATTCTTCCTTTGTACTTATAAATTACTTATAGTCTGCTATGTGTTAATTCATAGTATTCTCAGATGTGCCTAAATATTGACTTGTTGGCAATATTGTTATTTAGATGCCTTTAAAAATTAAATTTAAGGAAAATCTTATAATTAGCTTAAGATGTACTGTAAATTTTAGATTTACGCTTTCCTAGATTTCCAAAGGCAAGATCTTATTTAAATCCTGCTTGATGTATCAAAAGTAAGAACATAATTAGTAATTAACAATATTTTAATAAGTACAACATTAAATAAAAAGCTGGATTATGGAGGAAGTTTTAAATTATTTGTACTTGCCTTTGGTAATGCTGGATGAGATACTATTCTGATTTATTGTCAGACTAAAGATAAATAAAAGTGCCTAATCCTTTATGCTTAAATGATATTATTTTTGTGAGGAAATAACATTTTGAACAATAAAAAAATTGTGATGGTTTATATGAGGTAAACAATTCATTAATTCATGACATCCAATCAAAAGTCTGTTTTTGAACATAGGTCCCCCCTATAGATTGCTTCAATGAGGTACTTTGACTAAGTTACCACACTTGACAGGGTGGGTTTCCAAAGTGAGTTTTTTATAATTTTTGATTGTATTCAGAATGATACTACTGCCCATCTTCGCGTTCAGTATCTTTCTGCAGTTTCTTACAACATCCTCAGGATGAGAAAGGAGAAGTGATTCTTACACCACCACTACACAGTGCAATAGAAGTAGATAATGTTTTAGGCTAAATGCTTACCTCTGGAATATATGTCCACAATATATACACTGTATACAAATAGGCATAGTTGTATCGACTTGTAAACATTTTTTGTACTTGATTTCTAACTTAAGTTAGGTACTATTTTAGCTAACTGGGGAATTTGATCAACATAAATCTTTGCCTGTGTAAATATGTACTTATTCAGTTTCTTTATTCCAATACAAATAAAGCTGAGACTTTATAAGAATAGAATAGTAGGAAAATATGTATTCTGTTTGACTAACTTTATAACAAATAGGGTTAGCAATTCCTTTACACACTGGTTTTACTAATTCTTTTGTCGAAAGATATGTGATATATAGATGTGGTAAACATCAGTCCTCTATGAATTTCAACCATATTATAAATGCTTTTATTTTATAAAATAATGCAGTCATGTGATTTTTAAAGAGCTGTTTATATAGTTCTTTTAGAACCAGCTGTAACAAAACAAGCTGTAAATAAATCATAATAACTTATGTCGCAAATATTTTTTACATATTTAAATCTTTGTAAGGAGCATATGAAATATTAAAGGAACTTAATTATTGAGGTTAGAGATTGTTAGGTTACATAATATTGTTGTGTTGGTGATTATTTTCGTAATATTAATTCTTCATCCAATATTCTTTATCATTCTCATTTTAAAAGACCAATGGTTGTTAAGAGGTAATTAAAAAAATTACTACATCAGTCTAATCAGAAGGTAATATCAAATTCTATGGTCCTATGTTATATATGTCTGCAGTTTTAGTCTTGAATCATTAGGTCATTAGGTAGTTGTACTTGATAATCACACACACACACATATATATATACATATAAGTAAATATTTAAATTAACAAAGTGATATATTGCAGAGTAGTATTCCTATAAATTTATAGGAATATGGATTTTGAAAATAACTAGGTTTTTTGCATTTAATGTAATTTCTATTTAAATATATTGTTATATATTATATCATCTAATTAAATTATTATATAAAGGATTTAAAAATATTATTTAACTTACAAAAGTGTTTTATATATATATATATATATATATATATATATATAAGGCATTTTGACCCCATCCTCGAATTGATTGATTGATTGAAGTGGTCTGCTACTGCATATGTAAAGACTGAAGCATATACATTTAATTGTTGGCAATTTATTAAAAGAACAATTATATTTTATAGAATAGTTGTAATATTGATATGATAAAATGTTACTTCAGCCTGAAGATTACATTTTTTATTCATCCAAGTGTTTTATTAAAACTACATAAACGATTTCCTTTCTTTATATATATTTTTACTTTTTTTATTGTCAAATTTAATAGCAGTTTATAAATTGTATATATTTATGAGGCCTTCTCTTAACATACTTGCACATTACAACATTATATAACTATATTATAAAATGTAGGGTTAATAAAAGGAGAAGTGAAATTCAGTGATACAAGCATTGATTTTATTTTTGTTGTGAAGATTAATTTCCATCAAGATCTTGGAAGTGACCTAATTTGTTTGAATTACTGCATTGCATTTATCTAGTCATATTGTGAAGTTTCCTGTCTCCCTAACTCTTAAATTACATATAATTTGTTTGATTATTAAATGTGTTTTATTACAAATACATGCTTATATCATTTTAAACAATAAATTACAATATAAACCTCAACTTTTAAACTAATTGTAATGCCTGCATAATAGCATTATGTGAGGTTGCAGTTTTTGTATCTGGAATCTGTTTGAATTGATACCCTGCTTATATTGTTACTAACTTATTTCTGCTATCAAGCAGCACTGCCCTCTTTGCATGTGTTCTTGTTCACAGAGCCTGTATAATTTGAGGCCCTATGACATTTCACCTTAGCCCACAAGGTAACAATGCGCCTAGCCTTTTTGTAAGTTGTTTGCTTGTATTGAGTCACTTGCCATATCAAGTGGACAGTTAGCCTACCTGTCATATTAATACAATAAGAATTATGTTAACCTCCCAAAATATTTGGCTCTGTAGCAATTGTCTCTCAACTGAGGCCATTGAACTATAAAAATATCAGCAAAGTACTGAAGAATCTTTCCTGATAATGATAATGTTCTCACTCTACACAAACTTTCTATAAATATAATTCGACTATCTAATAGAAAAAAACATCTTAATAAAAAAGCAACAGCACATACTGGAATACAAGTACCTGGACCATTACATAAAATCACATTAGGCGCGAATTTGTAAACAATAGGTATAGTACACAATGATGCATAAATTGTAGTAACTATTGATGAAGAATATGTTTGTTTAACATTTCTACTTCTAGGTATTCTACACAGTGTGTAACTTGTAGATCCATTTTCCATATTATGTATTTTCACTTCACTGCTGGTATCATTATCAGCCAAAATATACAAACGGGGCCCGAACTTTTTAGTATTCAAATTTGACATAAGTCTTAGTATTTCACTTGTATGGCCACCCGATCCGATACAAATTATAGTTTTTAACGATGATGCTTGTATTGATAAGGCACATTCGGACGTCACTATCTTGACTAAAAGATATAAAAGCCTCAGAAGAAATGCTATAAGTATAATCAGAATTGTGGCATATATACCCATGATAAGTAAGTTGAATGATTTATACTTCAAACTTTTTACTTTCACAAAACCAGAACCTAACCCTAACCCACCTATAAGTAAAGGGGGAAGAGTGTTGTATGGTGTGTTCCGGTGTCATCTTTTGGCCATGGGTGTGGATATTTTTTTTGCTCTCAATATTCCTATGGATATACCATCAATTATTCTATAATTTTTTGTATGGAAAATTCTGGCATGCTTGGACCACAATTAAATTTGGCCGTGGGTAGTACATAAAGTGTCAAATGATGTCATTGATTGGCAGTACACTGGGTTGTTTTGGAACATCAATAATTAATATTTTTTTATTAACTGGCCTTACGGTTCTGGGTTCTAGTCCTTTTGAGCCTATCATTTCTTTCGGAATCTTCATTTTATATTTTTCTTCACAATATGCTGATACGTCACATTGCGAAGTCTAGGAGATTTTGACGACAGCTCAACCCTGCGCACAGTTGATCATAGATAAGAGTGTATATACCTACCATGAAGGTTAGGGAACAGGAGAACGATTGCCGTAGAAAATAGTGTCCCAGAAATATGGACACCATAAGTGAGGCGATGCGATCGCTTAGTTCGGTTAATAAAAGTCATTTTCATTTTATTTTTCCGATCAGATGCTAAACCACTTGCATATCCACGTACAATAAAATATTTCTCCATTTTTTAATGTTTCTTTTTGTCAGAAATTACAAAATTAAGGAGCATGAAAATTTTCCCACCAATGCCGCGGAGAAAGTTTGTACATTATTCAAATATATGTGTATGTGCCAAATCGATTGAGAAAAACGGGCAATGACCTTTCGATCGTTTAACCAGGGGTTACTAACCTTCAATATATAGGCACATTTTATATGTAGTATTTTCTTTATTTATAATGATTTTTTTATAATGATTGATATAATAATAAATATATTAACTATTATTAAAAAGTTATGTAAAAGTACGCTGTGGAAGAAAAATCACCGATGTTTATAGGAACCACGGACAATATTATTTAAGAAATAAAAAACAAACATATGTGCTGACCTATGGTTCATAAAAGATAGCTTGATCTCTGCGACAGCTGTCAGTAAAAATCACGCCTATGAAGTCCTGAATTTCTTAGTAGTACAGACAGTACCTGTCAATGTCATACTTTATGGGCATGCACTAATTAGGTCGGCATGCCCATAAAGTATGACATTGACAGGTACTGTCTGTACATGCCGATTTACATTATCTTAGTGTTTAGGAGAGTATTTTAGTACAACTTGAAAGGCAAGTTCTTTAGTGCTTTAGTGCGTTGTGAGTGAACGTTTACATTTCTTCCAGTAGAGTATCATTACAGCGCCACAATGAACGCACAACGACGTCGGCAAATACGCTCCATTCTACGCAAAATACTAACTGTAGTTATGGAACAAATAGAAGACGAGATTTTATTCGAAATAAATAAACCGAAACGAATGTGGGAGCGTCAATGGATTAGTCGCAGATCCATGCTTGGAGGAAGTTCTTTGTTGCTAAAAGAACTGGCTATTGAAGATCTTAAAGAATATCGCGATTCGATGAGAATGACAGAAGAATCCTTCAATTGGTTACTAAACAAAGTAAGGCCTGCTAAAGAAAAAAATTATACTCAAATGAGGAGTGCAATAACGGCCAAATTAAAACTTCAAGCAATTATTTATATGCTTGCAACAGGAAATAATTTGAGGAGCATATCTCATTTTTTCAGAATATCTAAATCTAGCCTTTCGTTAATGATTCCTGTAATTTGTGATGCCATCTACAATGCTTTGGAGGAATTTATACAGGTGAGCAAATAAAACATCGTGTAGTTATATTAAATCACATAACTTTAATACTTGAAACTGGGTAATTTTGTCACATAACTTTATAAAACTTTAATAATAAATCACGTAACTTTAATACTTTGAAACAATGAAATATTCCTATGTAGACGTTGAACAAAATTAGCTTGCTACCAGAACATCATGTTATAGTCGGAGATGCTGCCTTCCCTCTGAAGCCTTATTTGATGAAGCCATTCGGAGGACAAAATTTAACACAAAGAGAAAAAAAATTTAATTACCGGTTGTCTCGTGCTAGACGTATTATTGAAAACGCTTTCGGGATATTAGTTAGTAGATTTGAAATATTCGGAAAACCACTGCCTTATTGCCCAAACACTGTTGATAAAATTGTAAAAGCTTTTTGTGCTTTACACAACTGGCTCAGAATCATCAAAAGTTCGATATTAGAACATACAATGGACTTTGAAGACACTGAGAACGAATATTTTGTAGAAGGGAGCTGGAGACAGTTACCTTCAGAGAGACTTGTGCCAATACCTAGACACATGTACAACCATTCGTCGCAAAACGCACGTCAGATCAGAAAAAAGTTTGCAGACTATTTTATGGGCGAAGGATCTATCTCCTGGCAGGCACGAATGATACATTAATTTTTATGTAAGAAAAAAATCATACCATATTACTCTGCGTCTTTCTATTTTCTAGGTTTACGCTTCGTAACACATCGTGTAGTATGTTGAACCATATGTTATATGTCCACAAACATTCGTGAACAACATATTCAGACACAAATTTAATAGTTGTATCTTCCGACCATTTAGCCAATCTTTAAAAATCAAAAAACACGCACGCGTTTCACGGCACTTGTGCACTCTCCTAAAGATTTTACTAAATTACGTGTTTACACACAACGAGGGAAGATCTGAGTGCACAGATTAGTGCTGAGTGACGCGCCGGGGGTTGCGCGGGCGCGGGAGGGGTATCACTTGAAACAAAAATAAAAAGCGATTCTATTTTGATTCAACTGAAAGTCAAGTGGAACCGTACTAAAGTAGTTTCAACTAAAGTACTATCCTAAAGCACTCTGCTAAACACTAAGATAATGTAAATCGGGCATACTACTAAGAAGGACTTCATAGGCGTGTTTTTACTGAAAGCTGTCGCAGAGATCAAGCTATCTTTTATGAACTATAGAAGTGAATATCAATATTTAACTATTGTTATCACATCTAAACTAAGATTTTGTAAGCTACGTATTTTGACATTCGGCTCATATCTGAGGTCATTGCCCGTTTTTCTCAATCGATTTGGAGCATACTATAACTTCATCTACTTGTACTCATAAACAGCTAACTTCGCGGTCACTACTCACCGACGTCAGCACCGCTATAAATTCTACAATTTTCAAGGACAGGCGGGCTATGCTTTAGTACGTAGTGATCGTTCTCCTCTTCCCTAACCTCCATGGTTTATTAGTACCATGAAGGTTAGAGAACAGGAGAAATATTCTGGGACACTATTTTCTACGGCGATCGTTCTCCTGTTCTCTAACTTTCATCGTATAAACTATATTATGGAGAGTAAAAGTAAGTAGTAGAAACTGTGTATTACAAAGTGTCCATAGAAAACCGTTAAATAAGGATGGCGCCACTATAGCTACAGGTTAAATTTTAAAGAACGTGCCGAAAAATATTGGTGGCATAGACTACTTTTTCGAGGTTATATTTACTAACTAAAATTATTTTATATTTTGAAGCTACTGAGCAATTTAGCAGCACACTTCAAACCGTCGACAACTGCTAAGTTCATTTCATCCCAGTAGCTACTCCAGCGCTGTTGTGGAGAATTTTTTAACAGTTATTTACTGCTTACAGATGGACACTTTTTCAATTATTCTACTATGAGAGTTGGTACTCCTTCCTTCTACACTCCATAGTACTTATTTTATACCGTAGACCACTGACCTCTATATAAGTACGCTGGACTGGCTATGCCATACAAAATGACTGTGCCAATTTGAAGCGCCGCTAAAGGTGTCTTGAAAAATAAAATTGACATACATATGCCAAAGTCTGTTGTCTTATTTATATTGTCATATTTAAAAAGTCTCAATTTTGAACTTTTAAACTAAAAAACGAAAGTATTTTATGTTGTTTTATTGTGTATAATATTAGTTACATATTAAAAATTATTTTTAATAATAATAAGAATGAGCGTAATCTGTAAAACTCGTTACCAAAAGGGAAGTCGTATAACATTACACAAGTAAGTGAATTTGCAGCTAATATTTAACAAATTAAAACTATTTGATAATATAAGTACTTAAAATTTTGTTACTAATCTTAATATTATATATTATACCAACATGTTTGGCTGTATGTTACTGAGTTTTGATAAACAATAACGTTGTTTAGTGTTGGTTGTCGAGTTCCTTGTCTATAATACTTATCGATGTTCTTTCCTACCATATCTGTTAACAAACAAAGTCGCCAACAACAGATGATTATCAAATGTTTATTAATTAACTGGTTTCCAACAGAACCTAGACTAAAATTATGGCTTAAAAGCATAAATATTGTGAATTGGCGTCCGAAACAAAGTGATCATATTTGTTCGAAACATTTCACAGACGACTGTTTTATTAGACATGAGAACTGCACCACTTTGAAAAAGTGCAGTATACCGACAATATTTTCTAGTAATATCAGCACCAGTAAGTATAAAAGTATTAGATTATTATTTGCAATGTTTTTTTTATTTCTTCTTTCCTCATTTTCCACCAAACTCAAGGGCCACAGCCAAGTGTCGAAAGGTCGCCTGTTGATGTCGAGCCACGTTGGATGTGTGTTAGTGGGCTGCGGCTAGAGGAGATTCCTCTCCCTGTACCGCTGTAGTTGAGGTGGAGTAGTAAGGGAAGAGGAGTGTTGGTATGGCGATTGGCGATGCGCCACTCGACTATCTTTCGCGACTTTGGTGAGGCTGCACCACTTGATGTTTCCAAGTGCTCGTTTTTCCCTGGCTCCACTCACATATCGGGCTCGTGGAGTCCGTAGTGCATGTGGAGTTAGATGCCGCGAAGGGCAGTGTGGCTTGTATTTCTGGTGTGCCTTATCTGAGAAAGAAAACGGGGACGAGAAGTCAGCAACTAAGGAGGGGCTGCCTGTGGGCGGCGGGCGCCAGAGGGGCCGCGGATGTGCATGAAAGCGTTTCCATGGCCCTGCGAATTTGCGGCGGAAGGTAGAACACCATGGGGTTTTATTAAGTGCGATCTAGGGATTTAATTCTCTCTCAATTGCAGGCATGTAATAGTATGAGTACATATTTGTGCTATTTGCTGTAGAGACTACTGATCCCTAGGGTGCACGTGCGGTGTAGTTCCTAAAAAACTGTATCTGCGACTGATCATCACTGCTGGTAATAAGAAGTTGTTTAGTTTGTTGCTTCCTCGCTTGAATGCTAAGTATAGCCATTCAGAGAGGACACGTAGCCAGCATTCTTGGGACGATACCAAGGAAAGTAGGACTGTATGGTGATTTCAGTTATTATTTTAATATTGTAATTTTAATTTCGAAAATGACGTTGTAAATAACTGATAACTATGTAATTCAAAGTTTATTTTTTATATTATCTTGCTAGCTCGTACCCGGCACATTGCTGCCGCAGAAGAAATAATTGTGGAAATATCGTTAAAAATGTGGAACAGTTATATTGTATAATTAGGAATGATAATACAATCATTGAAATATAATGATATATAACTTTCTATAACTTGGCATTCCTTGTGGGAGGCCTATTTTCAGCAGTGGACTTGTGAAGGGTTTTTAATGATGATGAATGATAATGGCATTATATTAATATGATACATAAATAGAATGGACGTTACGGGTAGAGTCTATCTATCCATAGAGTCCATTCTATTTATTTTGGTATAGGTAGGGTATAGAATTTTTGTCGATATAATTTGATACACTGTCTTATCCCTATTATTAGTTCCGTGGACGTGGACTTCTGCTGTCAGCGCCAAAATGGCGGAAATCAAATCGCTTCATCATGTCACGGTTTATAGCCAGTCCAGCGTACTTGTATATATAGAGGTCAGTGCCGTAGACAGATAATGATATAGACAAAGTGTATCTTCACATCTATCTATAGACATATATATCTATCTATCACAGAACCAGAACTGTGGAGTATAGGGGTAAGGAGTACAGACTGTATAAGTGTCCGTGTCCGTAGGAAAGCGCTAAATTGTGGCGGGTGGCGGCACTGTAGCTACAGACTAAATTTTAAAGAACTTTTTATAATTTTTTTATTGCACAGACTTACCATAATTCTTATTACAATAATTATTTTATTGCTTTCAAAATTTTTATTTTCAAAATCATTCAACGAATTTTACGGAGATTTATCATACCCCGTAGCTACTCGAGCGCTATTGTGGAGAGTTTTTGAACTGTTATTTACTGCTTACGGATGGACACATTTTCAACTATTCTCCTATGGGAGATTGTCCTCCTTACCTCTCTATACTCCAATGACCAGAACCTAACCCTAAGCCCTAACCCAATAAAATAAGGACAGTATATGTATATGTAAAGTTGTTCACAGTTCGAAAAGATTAAAAAAAATCAATAGCACGCTGCAGACTACAGACTAAACTATAAATTTCTAACGCGCTATTAAATAGGTACGCTATGTTATAGCGCGCTATTCATAAGAAAGCGTTTGAAATATTAAATGTATAAAAATAAATAAAGTAAAACTTCCAAAAAACATAATGTTTGATTATTATACTTCTTTGTATCATTTCTGTTAAAAATGATTATTTATTCGATATTTATATTTAAATGATGATTAAAAATATCGTTCATAAACTTCGATGATACTAATGAGCGATATTGCACCCTATAGATGTGCTTACTTCTTAGAACAATAATATTGTTCTAAGGCTTTACTCGAAAAAAATTACGACTTGAGTTAACTCGAGTTGAAATTCATATAACTCGAGTTAT